AACCATGGAACTTATGGAATTAGATTTTAAGGTTATAATAACAGTCGAACTAATGGTGTTGTGTTAAATTAACCATCAACCTAATGTACTTTTGGTTAATGGAAGCCTATGTCATAACAGAAGTGTAATTAGACGAAACGAGGTTCGAAATGACGTCATAAACGTTATTACGGCATGATATAGGTATTATGGCGTGGAAAGATAATTGGTCATTCATTTAGATACTGTTACACATTAAAGCGTCTAGGGTAGGACATAATAAACTTTGGCTGTTATTATTTATGCTGTCATCATGCGTGTCACATAAGCCGTAGAACGATGACCTGTGGTACAGAAAAGTGCTGGATTGTAGACCAAGGGTAGGTACCAGAATCGTCAGCCACCAGAAGGCGAGATGGACGGACGATGAAGTTAAAAAGGAAAAACCTGGATGTAAATAGCCCAAGATCGGAGAGAATGGCGTGCAACGTGACGCCTACCCTCAGCAGTGGGTGACTAAAGGCTAAAGGAGAATCATAAGTGTCTTCTTCTCTTCTTGTTTAATATCTAGGCCCTTGTTTCGCTTCAGTCTAGCCGTTTGGGAGCTACGATGCCACAGGCAGGTAGACACAAATACGAAAGCGATCTCTTCGCGAGAATGATCTTCTGAGAGTGATCTTTTCGCGTCGAGGATTAAACACCAGATTTTTTTTTCTCTCAACAAGTACAAAATGTAGGTAATACGATGGAAGTGAAAAGTTGGGAGACAGCAACCAGAACTAGGTTATAGGTTAAATTATCATGTGCTGTGAGTCACCTGGTCTCCGACACCTGGATTACAACTAACGGTCGGTTAAAAAGGAAAAATAAAAGAACAAGAATAAAATCATTTAAAAAGTTAAAATACTATGTGTGTGTGAATTATACTTCGTATTGCAGATTAAACCTCGTATGTGTGGGTTGAGTAAGCAGGGTTATCATAATTTCATTGCAACCTCTTTCTTAAGGCATACATTATGTAGCCACCAGACCCAAGCAGAATACGTAGAGGAATTCGAGGATCTCGCTAAATCAAAGACTATTTATAGTATATTATATATTGGCAATAGGTAACTAGCTTATAGAGGTATAACTTACATTCATGTTAGAACTCTTACACATAAACAAGATACGACGTCGCGTCGAGTTGCGACGCGTTTTACGATGCAACGTCGTATTGTGGAAATCCACGACGAGCAACGTAAAAAAATCACGACACAACAAGCAACGTGACACGACGCATGACACGATGTCGTATCGTAGAAACTCACGGTGCACTCCCCAGTGCCGCATTCATTTGTTATTCAATATTCAAAGATGACTTTGTATTCTTCTGATGTTTTGTCCCATAGTACAGGACGCTCCTCGGCGAGGGTTATTAAATAATCAACCTCAATGTCGTCTGTCGTCGTGACACGTTGCAATGTCGTGTCGTGAATTTTTACGTTGCTCGTCGTAGCACGACGCGACGTCGTATAGTGTTTATGTGTAATAGCCCTTAATCGGCGGCTCACGATGCAAGAAAGTCTTTTTCCGTAAGAATTGACGAGATATAATGAAAAGACGGATACGAAAGGAATACATGGAAAAAAGGATGGTTCAATATATGCCCTGCCTTGTTTTTGGCAAATTGCGGAAAAGGGCGATAAGAGAGCATTACAACGAAAACGATGTAGGGACAAAGATACAGAAAGGCTTAACTGGTTTGGGCGTGTAAAGAGAATAAATGAAAGAAAATTGACGAAACAGATTTCTAAGGCGGATGTGAATAGGCAAGTACTAGGACGACATGACCACGACCAAATTGAGGATTTTTTTAGCAGATCTCCTTGTGACAGAGTTTATCCAGATACTGCCACCAAGCAGTAATGTGACCATTGCTGGGTTTCAGTTTTGAAGGGTAAGGTTGCTGGTGAAATCACAGGCATGAGTTGACAAGTCCCATTGTCAACTCATGTCCCAAGGTGCCTTGGTATAATAAAAAACAAAATTGTATTCATGTGCTATATTGAAATTACCTTTGTCTACTCTACTACTATGATTCAGATGCATTTATTTTGCAAATGTAATACTACAGTATAAATTGCACTACGTGTCAAAGTAGTAGGAGCAGTTTTTGCAAGAACTTTCTTTTGTAAATCAAAATAAAAGAATAATTTTAGATGACAATGATTCAAATTGTTATTGTATTAAAAAAAGTAAGGTTAGGCAATTATGAATGAAAAATGATATCTGATAAATGTCCACCACAACCAAAGGTTACAGGGATATTTTTTTTTCGAAAATTCGGCTGGAAATGCGGATACGGTCAATGGATTACGCTATCGATCGATGTTAACTCAATTTTGGGCTATTATTGATGATATGGATATCTTGGTACTTGGTACTTGGTGTAACGGGCTGGTGTCCGCAACTCGATATCACTAACATGTGGTTTCGACAAGACGGTGCCGCAACTCACAGTGCCACCGAAACAATGAATTTATAGCAAACCAAATTTCTCGATCGCATAATTTCACGAAATTCAGCGTTAAGTGTGTTAAGTTCAGCTCGATCATATGATTTAACATCCCTGGATTCTCGTTTATGAGGTTATGTTAAAGACAGAGTCTATATGGAGCCAATCGAATTTTGATTGCAGCCTTATAACTCAAAATTCGTGAAGTGATTAACGTAATAGACCCACTATTTTGTTAAAAAGTGATTAAAAACTTTGATGAAAGAATCGACTTCTGTGGTCGTGGTGGATATATATCAGATATCATTTTTCATTAATCATTGCCAAACCTAACTTTTTCATCTAAATTTATTGGTTCATTTTGATTTACAAAACAAAGGTCTTGTTGAAAAACCCTATATAAAAAAAAGAAAAATGAAAATTATAAGAAAAATACACAATAATTACAAAATTAGCAATTCATTAAATGATATTGTTGTCATTAAATTACATATTATATATCATTCTCCGTCAAGGATCGTCATAAGTTGATAACAAATATACAAAAGTATGTAAATGAGATTAAAATTAGAATAAAATAGAACATACTCGATATCGTTAGAATTTTAGGTCCATAAATTCATTTACAGAGGTTATGAAATTTAATTAAAAGTGATTATGAAATAAACAATAAAAATTCTGAATTTAAGACATTCTTGTTCAAACAATAAATACGTCTACTAGTTGATGTCACTTTTTAACTTGACTTTACCAGGATACAAGCACAGTTATGAATCGCAATTATGCGCCTCGACTCTAAAAAGACGCAGTTTCCGATCGGGAGAGGCAATCAAAATCAAGCTGCAGGTGTCACTTTTTTAACCGACTTCAAAAAAGGAGGAGGTTCTCAATTCGACTGTATGTTTTTTTTGTATGTATATTACGCGATAATTCCGGTATTTGTAGACCGATTTTCATGATTCTTTTTTTGTTGGAAAGAGGGCACCTCCATATTAATTTCATTTTGAAGAAAATCATCCACCTCCAAGGGTCGCTGATCACGCATGAGCTTTCATTTTTATAAATAGCGCCTAAATTTTACTTAAGGAGCAATTATTTTAATGGTTGGTTTTGCTATTCTCCAATTCAAGGCGTTTTTCTCTCAATATACTTTGAGTAGTGAGAACCGGTTTTTATTATCTCCTGTGTCAAGTCCTGTATAGTGGCGAACTAGGGGATATTTCAATAAAACTTGGCAAATAGATGTAATTGCACGTACTTTTGAGGTCGGTTTTTTTAGTACTCTGCACTGAGATTATTGCAAAACCTTTTTGAAATAAAATAAATTAAAAAAAACATAGCATCTGGCACGGTTTGCTAGAAGACGTTCGTTCGAATCCAGCCGAGTCGATGGATTTTTTTCTAAGCGTTCGACCTTTATATTAATAATTATGGCAAATTGAATTCATATTTTTTAAAGTCAAAAGACTACGTAGTGACATATCCTGACATTCAATAACTTATTTACAATTTATTATTAAAACGACATCTCTAGTCAGTTGCTGTAAAGGTACCTTAGGTGACGTCTGCTGTCCAGATTTTTTCGTTCCATACCATTGACTTACAATTATATGGACGTCGGGTCCGCGCTAAAAAGTGTCCGCACTTGTAAGGCGCTAAAATCGTATACAGAGCGCCAAACTCCGCTTTAGTCTTCATTTGTTCGACTGACAGCGCGATACTGCGATGACATTACAATTTAAATTTCGAATAGGTTGACTTGGGACATTTTTTTCGTGGTTTTTGTATTAAACCCGTCGTCCATTTATTTGTAAGTCAATGTTCCATACAATGAAATAATCCTTACATGAAACTGAGTCGATCAGCACTAAAAAAAATTTGTATCAATTTTATTCATTAAGCGTCTTCAAAAAAAGGAGGAGGTTCTCAATTGGACTGTATGTTTTTTTTGTATGTATGTTACGCGAGAACTCCGAACTGATTTTGATGATTCTTTTTTTTGTTGGAAAGAGGGTACCTCAGAAGAGGTTCCATTTAAATTTGAGGAAAATATTCGACCTCTAACGGTGGTAAAGGGGATGAATGACTTTTGAGGTCGGTTTTTTTAGTACTCTGTACTGAGGTTAAGTTATGCTCTCATCGAATCTTCTTGAATTGTATCCTATTAATGTATACATAATTATTTTTATATACAACTCACACTTGACCATATAAATGACTATTCCATCATATTTTTACTCAATTAAAAGATAGTTTTGTTACTTTATTTATATCAGTTTTGTTAACTTATTGTTACCCCTTACAGAAAAACTCAATTCTCTCTACGAATGTCATATTAAATGTAATGTTTTGGATATTTCTAGTTTTATTTTCAAAAAAATTATTGATGTTGATTTATTCATTACAAAACGTACTTTCGATGTCAGTTTAATGCTTTTTGATATCTCTTATATTTATGGAATAATCGCCTGGGCACTCTTAACGATTACAGCCTGTATAAGTATATGTATGTTTTTGTCAACAGAATCAACATGGCCCTTAGCGCTATCCTGGTACTTACCTGCCTTGCCAGTGCCAACGCATGGGGCGGTCTCTTCAATCGCTTCAGCTCTGATATGCTGGCCAACCTGGGCTATGGACGCGGACCGTACCGCCATTATCCTTATGGACAGGTAAGCTCTTTCTATTTATGTACATCTGGTAGAGCTATTGTAGAGTAATTGTACCTTACTTCATTTGAAGACCTTGGTGACCCAGGACCAGGGGTAAACAGTGGGTTAGAATAAAACCCAATCAATCCGCCCGGGTTTTGACCGGGTTTTTACCCATTTCTGCCCAAAATCGTCGGCAGAAGCAGCGAGTAATTTGATATTCCATACTTATTACAAATTTTTATGTAAAAAATATTTATTAGATGAAATAGAGGCGTCTCTACACAATATTTACCCACCTTGTAATCCTGTAGGTTTTCACTACTAAGAATGCACATCATGACTCGATTTTTATGACGATCAACTCAAGCGCTTACGTTGTAACGCTTTTTTGTATCAATTTATTTCAACGCGATTTTCGCTATTAAAATCCATGGCCGCGTAAATCATCCAATAACGTATAACGTTACATGACGGGGCGTGGGTTAACTGCAAGGACAGGCTGCAAATTTTGACTATACCTTAATCACCACGCCCCTCAACGACTTTTGGGCATGTTTTCGACGAAAACTTACTGCCTGAGATGCCTTTTTTCAAGCAATTTTGTAATACGAACTCTCACCGTCCTGAAACGAAGTCAAATGTTATCCAACCTAGGCTATTTCTGCCCAAAGAAAAGGTTCTACATGCAAAAGGTCAATTTACATATCTCACCACACACTGGCCTTTACACAGATTACAGGAATAATGTCATTAAACGGTCAGAGGTTTATCTTTATGTGGTTTTGACCTTTATCCGTGGAGATTCCAAACTAATATAGTAACTAGACATGCCAGGTGAAGTGAGACCTTATAGACGTTCTCTTCATCGCTTTCTTTTCACGTTAAAAAATAAGAATTCAATTTGTTATAATTATTAATACAAAAATCGAACGCTCAGAAAAAATTCATTCGATCCGGCCGGATTCAAACCGACATCTTCTAGCATACAGTGCCAGACGCTTTACCAACTAAGCCACGGAGCGAACCAGCGGACCTCACGAATTTTTCTATGTGCTTCCGTCGTAGGACGTTCGATAACTGTGTTCTGAATAACGTTTGTAGCCTTTGCCATCGTTTCGGTTCGGTTTCGAAAACCACAGTTTGACGTACGATTCGGGTGTTGTGAATGAAAATGAAAAGAAATCGGTGCACAACTGAGTTATCGTAAGGTTCTGCATCGACCCCCAGGTTCGTTCCAGTAAGAACGCTAGACATTCGATATCATTGTAAATTTACTTCAAACAGGTAAAGAAGCCGGTAATTTGTAATAAAAAACATCGAAATTCTTCAAAATGAAACACGTAACGTGGTTTTTGTTTTTATCACAACAAATAAGGATTTTTCCGGGCCAGCTCAAACTGATTTCGGGTTAACAAATATGAAGTGTAAGTTAACGCGATTCAACGCATGAATACTTGCTGACCCCTGAAATGTCAAAATGGTGCGAAATACCGAAATCAATTTATACAGCCCCTAAATTGCCAAATGAAAATACACCCTCAGGTGTTGTGCTAAAAATGATAGCTATTTTCGTTGTGCTCAATTTAGTATAGGTACAATGTTGATCTGCTATTTTCAGATTGGTTAAGACTAAATTGAACTTTCTGCTTTTAAAAAAAGCTCAATTGATGCTATTTATAAATAAACGGTAGCACTTATGACGTCAAAAAAATAACATAACCCATGGTCGGAATAGGGTTCTTACCACGGTGTTACAATTGAGTAAATACATGTATACATTTGGATGCAAGAAGTCGTTTACTTGTTTCGAATTCATAGTGAAAGATCATGGCCTACCAAAGTATAAAAATTGTAACCTGATATATGGTTAGATTTATAAAACAAGTATGTTTTGTTGTTATTGTTGATCAGAACGATATCGGCCTTATTCCTACTACAGGTGACCGCGCAGAGATCGTGTATGAGTATAATGATATTTATTTTCCATTGACTTACAATTATATGGACGTCGGGTCCGCGCTAAAAAGTGTCCGAACTTATAGGGCATTAAAATCGTATACAGAGCGTCATTCACGCTTTAGTCTTCGTTTGTTCGACTGACAGCGAAGCAAGCAAAATTAGACAGTACTGCGATGACATTACAATTTAAATTCAACATTTTAGCTTTTTCATATTCCTTTACATGTCACTACGTTTAAATAGGTTGACTTGGGACATTTTTTTCGTGGTTTTGTGTATTAGACCCGTCGTCCATTTATTTGTAAGTCAATGTTATTTTCACATAAAGTCAGACAATAACCGAATAAGGGTGAGGCCAGACGGGCGTAATTTTGTGAGTTGTGAGTAACATTTTATGAGTTGCGCACGTGTGCGAACGTATTACATAGGATATTTTGTGTCGTACTAGTGTAAAGGAACCATTAAATATAGTATGTATTTATGAAGTACATTTTAGAAAAAGAAACTGGGTACATCCACTCAATATGAAATGATTAAATTGCGCGCAGTTTTATATATTATATACAAGTCTTACCGCTCACGCGTAGCGCTCATCCTACCGCAAAATGGCGACTATTTGGTTTCGCAAATTAGAAAAGGATTCAGTTTAAATACAAGTTTTTAAGAATAAAAATTATTATTCTGCATTGCTAAATAAATACCCTCCGTACTACAACAAAAACATCTCAAATAAAATGCAGTAATACACCGCAAATCCTGCACTTAAAAAGCACTAATGAAATTTTTGGTGTACTTGGGTAAATATGATAATATTCCGTTTGAGTGGTTCTAATGTTTACCATGAAATTACTCCTTAAAGTATAATTTATATTCAGGGTAAACTTAAAAAACGCAACTTAACGGTATGTTTTCAATAAACAAACACCGACATCACCAGCCCAACCAATAACACCCACAATTGTCGTGACGTATTTTTGAAGTTGTTTATTTTTTTTTAATGACAGACCCAGGCATTAAAAACTTTATGGTTTGCTAGAGTAGTTAACGAAATAGCAATTAGTATTAGTTATTTTACCTGTTATAACTTCGATATCCGATAAATCGGTATAAAATCATCACCGGCACCTCTAGGTGTGGTATGCTTCCAGTGACGTATGAATCCCGTGAGCGGTTATGTGAACATCCAGATCTATTTGTTAAGTACCACTACATGCCAATAAATGTTTTTCAAGAATTATTAAGCCTAGTAAAACCTTTTATTACTAAGGCAGATACAAATATGAGACAAGTCATCAGTCCAGTCGAAAGACTAATAACAATTAAGTTGTTCAATTATTTATATTTTAATCTCCGTATCAAACATTTTCGCAAGAAACGTCTATACTCACGCGCATCCTATACGAAAGTGACCCCTTACCCCTACCTCCACCTACGTCAGTCGTCATAATGTCCGTGAGTCGGCAGATAACTCATTTTGCGTCGTCGTGTGAAACAAACCGTACTTTTCAACTCAAACACAAAATTGCGCTCGTCTGGCCTCACACTTAGGGTTTTCACACAATTAACAATATATTAAACATCAAATCTTTATTTATGTTACAAGTTAACAGCATAGATTTTCAATATTTTGTTACTTAGAATAGAAAGTGTTTTTTTAACTGCATAAAGTAAACGAGTAAAAAACCGTGAACGACAGCTAATCGTGTCGTGCTATATGCGAACAACTTGATTTAAATAAACAAGCCACGACACTATAAACTGCAGAACAATCTGGGAACGCGCTCTCACACATTCATTATTTGAAACACTATGAAAACTTGATAATTACTGGTCGCAGTTTAAAAAGAAATAACAAAATTCCGAAATAATATATAAAATAATTTAAACTTTACCCTGTTGCCATATCATTGAAAGTCCAATGATACGGCAACATTTTATATTTACCTACATTTTATATCTATCACGTACATTTTATATTGAAATATCATATGTTGCCATCTAGCGGGCAATAGCTGAACTACGACGAATTCGAAATGTTTACTTAGTTCTCCAAAACAGAAGCGACAATTGCAGCGGCATAAGGTTTAGGCCCATTTCTTGTAACAAAAATAATTATTACGATAAATAGAATTTTATAAAAAATGAATTTATAGAATTTTATAAGAAAAGAAATTTATAAAAATTATGCACCTAAGGTAAGACTAAATGATGATATGAAACACGACCATAGATAATTTTTTTTTCTTTTTTTTTTCATTTTTTTTTATAACGCACACACTCAACGTAGTCCCGCACTAGGGAAACCCCGTGTCGCGTGTGCCATGGACACACACATAGACAACCACAAATTACACCCAAACTCACGAGAGAAATAAATGTAGGCCATTTCTCCACACACATTTCCACAAACTTTTCTCCCGGCCCGGGAATCGAACCTGGGACCTCTGCGTGGCAGTCCGGCATGGTAACTGTTCGGCCACGGAGGCAGTTTTTATATTACACGTGCAACTATCACTTTTGTACTCCAAAGTAGTAAAATAAGGCATTTTTTCCGATTTTCGAGGTTACGTATGTCAAAGTCAAAGATCATTTATTCCGTAGGTAAAATAAATTTTCACTTCAAAACGTCACATTTAAGCTACTGCTTGTTCACTACGCTGACTTCCCTGAGAAGAACGAGCAAAAATCTCTAGGGATTGCTCTTTTAAAATAAACTTAAATGCTATGGAATACACTTTGAATCAAATTTGTGTGGATTCTGGAGCCGTGTCGTCTTTCCATACATCTTTATTAAACACTTAGGGTCGTATTCCAGAACTCTACTCAATGCTCAAGTCAGGACTTGAGTATTACAGTGAGCACTGAAAATCATACTCAAGTCCTTGCCATTAGAGTCGTATTTCCAGTGCTTGAAATCATACTCAAGTCTGCTCAAGTCCTGACTTGAGTATTGAGTAGAGTTCTGGAATACGACTCTTAGTCTTCAATTTTGTAATATGACTTTTCTATCAAAATATTTTAAAAGTAGTTTTTAAACTTAGTAAATGATAATCTTAATATATGCTCCGGAATCTTATTGTAAAAACGGATACAGTTCCCCATAAAAGAGTCGTTTACCTTGGTTAAACGAAATCGTGGTACCATGAGTTTAGATTTACATAGCTTTAAGGTTAATATTATGGATACCTTCTTTCTTATTGAAATTATGTATATTTTTACGGGCATATAAAATATTTGAGTAAATGTAAGGTGATCCTACAGTCATGGTACCAGTCTCCTTAAACTTTTCTCTGAGAGAAACCCGAGAGCCTCGGTACACAGAACGAATCGCTCGTTTTTGCAAGCTTAATTGTAGAGCTCAAGTATGTGGAACTTCGCGTACAATTGGCACACGTTCCACACAAACTAAGCACTTCTATATATTGTATGTATTGTTCTGTACCCACCAAAAATAATACCAACGGCAGCCTAATTGCTTATTAGACACTTCTTAATAGCCCTAATAAAACACGCACAGTTAATAATGTAAAAACCCATAATTCTCTTTCTCAGGTGGACCCAGAGGAAGTGTACGCCGAAACGCTGGAAGGCAACCGCATAGATGACGTCATCGACGAACCGGCTCATTGCTACAGCTCCCCCTGTGCTACCAACGGTGATTGCTGCCGCGGTCTTCTGTGCCTGGAAACTGGTAAGTCACCTGTGCTTTGACATCACAGCCACCTCATAGCTACCTACAGTTCATCTATGTCTAAAACAGTTCTTTTTCTTATCGTGTCGATCGTTCTTTTATTATAGGACGATATTGACCCTGAATAGTACGTTGCTACTTTGACTGCGCTGTCCGTGGCCGCGTAGAGATCTTCCCTCATATAGGTATTAGGACACAAGGGGCACAACAGTAAGTGCTGCAGGGACTGCGTTGGGGCACCGCAGTGACATTGGGTTTGACAAGTATCCTTGAAACCCCATTAACACATCGTATCTCTCGGTAATTTGGTGGCCATATTTTATAAAGGGTATCGACTGTCACTCTCTTGTTTGTAATTCTCCGCGGAGCATACTACTACACAAACAGTAAGGGCTTAAAAAATATTTAAAAAAACTTATTTTATGGCATGGCAACCTTTTTAACCGATTTTGATGATTCTTTTTTTTTGTTGGAAAGACTTTTTTTTGTTGACTTACCCTAAGTCACTAGTGGTCCCATTTTAATTTCAAGAAAATATCCACTTGTCGAAGGGTAGCAAATTAGGGGATGAATCCATTTGCGCGCACTTTCCGATAACAGATTTCACAAACCTTGGCAAATAGATGTAATTCCACGAAATTTTGAGGTCGGTTTTTTTTATAAAAAAAAATTATTTATTATCCACAGCAGCATATAACTTTGGATCCATGACTCCCAACGGTCTTTTTTATCATAAACTGCGACAGGACGAACTAGTCGTGCGCCTGGTGGTAACCAACGCGCCCGCCACCCTGAGACATAATATGTTCTAAATATAACCCTTACCCTTCAAAACCGGAACGCATAACATTTTATTTATTTATTTATTTTTTATTTATTTATTTTCAGGTTACAAAAGACCCATAAAACACGTACCTTATAGACTAACATACGAAATAATATGATAAAAACAATTTATTTATTTACACGTATGGACCGCAACGTGAGTGTCCGATAGCCGTCCTCGGAAACGCCGGAACATGACAGCCTTCGGCCAAAAGTCCTCCTTCATGAAGGTCGACAGATGTTGAGTTGGTACTCTCACCACAAATGAATTAAAATTCACCTTGTGGCGGGACTCCAACTGCTCGACCTTCAGGGCAGCCTTGGGCTTTCACCCGTATGTACTCCACAAAGTCTGCGGATATTATAATGAAGTCGTGACACATATAGCAACGTCGTCGGTACTGCTGGACGCAATAGATGACTGGGGCCAGTCGGGGCGGTGCCACTAAGGTTACGGCTAGTGTACTTCTTTTTTTTTCCCCACTTTTTTAAAGCCGTCCTCGTCGCACTGGTCTACTCCTCTCGGTGGTGCTGACGACACAGCTCCAGAGATGAGATTCCGCGTTTTCTTTCAGCACTACTAAAAAGCGGTCTATGTCGACCCCCAGGGCTCTAACATAGAAGGTGTGAATGGCAACGAAAAACATAGGGGAGCAAGAAACATTAATGGGGTTCCACGAGAGTAGAACCCATTCAAGCAGGTTTGACTTAACAACATACATAAGTGGTATGGAGCCTTAGCCTACGGAGAGACGTTGACTCTCTGTGTGTGTTCTACCGCCTTTATAATGGGGAGTGTTCTGAGGAACTTTTAGAACAGGTGCCACCGTCTTTGAGAGATAAGTTTAAGGAAATTAACATTCTTACACACCGTCTTTGAGAGATAAGTTTAAGGAAATTAACATTCTTACACTAGCCTCACAGTACATTTATGAAAATGTAATTTATGTTAAAAGGAATAGTAATTTATTTATGAAAAATAGTGACAGACATAACATTAATACGAGGAATAGATATAAACTAGCTTTTCTTGATAGTCGTCTTCACAAAGTCAAAAAATCATTTAAGGGGCAATGTAT